TGTCCTAAAGGAGATCTGCTGAACTGCTCTTCGAAGTACTCGCCCAATCGCGCAAGACTATTGAGGAAGTGAATTACCGTCTCGTCTTTTTCGCATATTGTTTCACTTACACCTGCTTTCTTTTGACCGCCTGACTGGATCAGCTGAAATAGGGAGCGACTGTTGCATGCAACGAAAGCCTTCTCCATCTCCTGAGCCATCGAAATCCATCAGCGTTCCCTGTCTTTCCTCAAGCTCTTGACTTTCTGAGTTTGAGGGACCTGTGTGTGCCATCACAATCGCCACTTGCTGGTATAGCCATTCTGGCAACAATAAGTCTGTTGATCTCGACAATATCTAGTGTTTATTCAGTCAAGTCACGGTTCTGAAAGCTGACAGCATAGCTTCTTGACTTGTTTTCATTCAACTGCTGAGTAATCTCCGTCATGCGCATGACTGTGCGTTTCCAGTATCCAGATCAACTGGATACTCCTGAGCTACTGAAATTTGTCGAAGTTGATTTATTCAACTGCTCTGCTTTGGCACACGTAATGCTGATGGAAAACGAAGTGATAACCGGGCCCAAACAACGGCATGATCAGAGTCAAGCTGCGTGCCCTAGAATGGACGACAATCTTTAACTAAGGCTCTCTCATCGTTAACTAACAACCACAGTATCCAACTGAGTCCATGACTGTCTTGAGCAGTCTGGTAGGAGGGTATGAAAGCGGGTACTGTCGGCAAGACTTGCCTTCCAGATCTATTTGGTCCTCTTTACCCATGGCTAGATAAACTACTGGATACGTCTGCCAATCGATGTCAGTGGCGATCAAGTGGTCAGTTTCCATTAATACTGTCTAATTGGGAGCCCGTCTGCGGGATGCTAGCACCAAGCCCCTCCTACGCAATTCTGTTTTTGTTACATCATTGAGCCTTCAAATGAATCGTCTCTGTACGGTGATCAAGTATTGTCGTTGAAAAGACTTGCTGGTAACGCTCATGACGATAACGTCATAGGGGTGCATGAAATCGGTAGCAATGAGGAATCCTCTTCTTGCGGTCGTATAGCGCTCATCTTGTCGTGGCGTGGTCATTGGGTTCACGTGCCACTGTATCGACCTGTTATGAACCAAAAACGCAGTACGCCTTGATTTCACCACAACCAGAGACTTATTGACCCATGTGAAACAGCAGCCATCGTACCACAATGAGGGGAGGGGCATACCTATTCCCAGCTGAGCCGGGAGCAGATGGATGTTTGAAGTTGCGAGTGCGCACTGACGATATCTCCTATAGGGGAGAACGTTTGCAAGCCAAGCTCGGGAACAGATCAACTGTCGTGTGATCGACAGCCACATGACTTACACCCCATTCCCGATGCCAAACGTCATCTCGTGAATATTCACAAAATTGAACAGTGGAGTTGAAAGACAGTTTGTTAATCAATTAAGGGTCCGCGAATGGAGGACATCAGACTCTGCATAAAAATGTGCATTCAGATTTCGAAGCGGTCGTTGAAGAGAACGGTAACTCGCCCGAGATATCGTCTGGCGAAGGTTTTGGTCCTTGTGGTCCTCAAAAACTCTGCCACCTAAGGATATGGTTGTCCGATTTCGCCCAGCGTCAAAAGCCAGTTCTGATTCTGTGCTAAGGAACTCCGTAACTGGTGTCGGCTCTGTATCCTAAAAGTTCAGCGATTCCCACAGCTTCGGCAGGCATCATAACCGGCAGAGCAACAACTGTTTTCGAACCCAACTCGAGGGCAATTTTTTTTCTATTCGCTGATTCCCACTTTCCTAATCTCAGGGAAACAAAAGCCGGGACCAAATTTATCATCGAAAAGGTTATGTTCGAAATGGTGCGGAATGTCCGATGTCCAGTCAGTCAAAGCTACGCGAAGTGGACCGCATACAGAAACAACCAGAGGGAACCTCATACTAATAACCGAGGCGAGATGGCTCAGTGGTTAGAGCGGAAGGTCCGTGGTTCGAACCCGACCTCTGTCTCTCGACTTCCCCTGTCTAGGCTTTGGCAACCTGGAAGTATTTCAGCCCTCGTGCCTCCTTCGGGTGACATGGCAGCCAGACACCAAAATGGTTACAGCTGAACGATTATTTATTTTTTTATGCGAATGACCACTAACGGTCACCTAACTTATGGACCAGTGGCACGACAATGAGAGGACGATGGCACAAGCAGACTCGGTGGCTCGATAGTCAGCTTGTTAGGCCGGTCGATGAATCTTGAATATCGAGTCTCAGCCCTCTTACGCCTTCAGACGGCAAGTCAAATCGACTGTGTAGGATAGTTCCAGGTTGCTTACCCGGATTGTCATCCAGCGCCCTACAGTTTTCTAAAAATGGACTTCAGTGCTTGAGGAACAATCGAATGTCGCTGGTGTTTTTGTCCACGACGATGAAAACAAAATTGACTGAAGAGTAGTGGGGCTGCATGGATCTAGGGAGCCTCTTGCTTCATCCGAAAATTCGCCACATGTGGACCAGATTAGGAAGACTTTCAGTCCACCAACCGTTGCTTGTATTTTATCTTTCGTTCTGGTTCCAGAGATCATAGCATTTGGTTTAGACATTCACAACCCAGTTACTTGCTATTCTTCACCTGGGTCAAAGTAAACTGAATTGTTCAGCTGCGGCGCCGTTACAGTGCACTTTCCATGCTGTGTAATAATCTAATCGTTCAGCTGTAGAACCCCTTCGGTGCCTAGCCGCCCTGCCACCCAAAGGAAGCAAGACGGGCTGGAATACTGCCAGGTTGCCCANCTAGACCGAATCGAAATGAAGAGGGCAGGGTCCAACCACGGGCCTTCCAATCAGTAAATTCCTGCTCTAACCACTAAATCCATTTCCATGTTCCCAGAAAGCTGTGACGGTTGAATTAACAAAGTACGAAAAATCAGACAGAAACAGTCAAGAAATACAGATCTCTCGGTCAGTAGCTTACGTCCCTATCGATGGTCTATCTCTACTAAACTTCAAGAAAACATCAAAATGAAACTAACTGTTAAATACACGAACTCCTTTACTCTCTGGATGAACGCTGGAAACCACTGCAACCCTCTTCTACCCGCACGGAAAGCCAGAAATCCAGGACTGCCTGGAAGCAAAATCACCGAAAAGTAACAAGGATTGTCACTCGATCCGGGATTAGGTAAAAGACATTTGTTGATGCTGCTGGCTAGTGCGGGGAAAACCTTTACAGTTCGAGACCATGTTGAGGGCCTCCGTGTCTTTTTCTTCACAGTATCGGCAACCGGGTAAGAAGCATACTTCAGAAAAATTATACATTATCTCAGTGTAGATAAGGAGTGCTGTTGTTAGAATTCTGCATATCCGTGACGTCCTGCAGGCGTAGCTAGTAAGTACTGCTTCTCATCACAGTGATGAATACATAGCCAGGAACAGCGTCCTGAATTAATTCTGTATTGAAAGGCACTCAGAAAACCGACTGAATAAAATGGTTCCAAGTGCTCCGCCATGTGCGATGCTTTGCCAAACGTGGAGACTGTTTGGGTCGGTGTAGTACAACACCAGCCCTACGGTGTATGCTAGTGCATGAATCATGTTGCAGTGTGAAGGGTCAGTCCGTAGCAGTCAATCGTATTAGCAACGCAGCAATGCCTGAAATTTATTCAGTTTAGCTGGCCAGCTACGGGGAAGGGGTGAATAGCTTCTAACTTTTATGAGGGAGGGCAGTATGGTGGAAATTTGTTCCTCGCGTACATCATCTTTACCACCAAAGACAGCAAGATCAGTATCGACATGATGTGCTGCCGTACAACTACAAAGTTCGTTTAATAGGTAACAAACTTAGATAATCATAGATAATAATAATAGATAGATAAGTAGACAATAACTATTTGCTGTTGCAACAACCGTTCGATGCCTAGCTGTTAGGCTACCCGAATGGAGAACGAGAGCCGAAACATTGCTTGTCGAAGACCAGACAAGAGCAGTCGAGACGCAGAAGTTGGGTGCGAACCAGGGACCTTCCGGTCAGTGGGTTCGCGCCGCAACCACCAAGCCATTTCGAGCTCAAAAAATTCAAGTGTATTTAAAATGTTTAAGTGCAAAGAGAAGAGTGGGTGATGGAGAGAGTCAAAGCTAGCCTACCACGAACACTGTGATAGGCCTACAATTCCGAGTGCTCAAGCAGGAAACTGACAGATTAGCCGTCACTTCTTGAAATGTCTCCAGTCAAACGTGGAGGGCCACAGGAGGCGTGCCTCGCCAAAAGAATCAACGTTTTGGCAAGCGTGGAGGGGGCCCAGCCAACTCTGCTGATGTTGCTAGAATTGTCCCGCGATTGAAGTACCTGCTGCACAACTAAATACCCGTTTTCTGATCACCTCGTTACTAATCGTTGGTGCCATTCAAAGCCAGCAACGCCCCTGAGACATGCGTGGTAAAAAATTTGAAGATGCGCCATGTTTCGCAATAACACAACACCACAGCACGGGCGTTGAGACCCAGTGATTTCGCTTTTTGACGCCACAAATGATGCAGAGAAATAACGCCACTCGAGATACGTACACCGACCCCATCAGGCCCACTTTTTCGAGGGCCAACAGAATTAGCGGGGTTTGTAAAATCCCTCATAACTTCCTGTGCCTTCCTTGATTAAGGCTTTTTCGGTGACTGCACGTTTTGAAATACGTTTCTGCACTCCGTACGTGCTGTTCTGGTAGCGATGTTGATGCAACGATCGTAAGAACTATCGTGAGAAATACCAGCTAGCACGCACGACAGCTCAGCGGCTGCGTCACCAGCTATCGAAGAGGAAAATCGAAGTTCAAACGCCACGCTGGCCTTTCCACTGTCCAGATCCATTGCTGGACGATCTCTCGCGCTTTCTTTGGGTGGCATTGCAACTGTGGTCAGAGCGATAATCCCCGCACATAAAACGTTCGCATCTGTAAAACCTGGTGGTTGTGCAAGAGAACCAGGAGAAATCATCTTAGGGATTGAAAACAAGTTCAGACGCACCTTGTCTCAGATACTCACCTGTTCGTTGAATCCCCCAATTGAATCGATTTTGGCGTCTGTTCTGAGAGAAGCCGGAGAACTAACAGAGGGGAGAGAATAGGCCTTGAGGAGAGGAGTACGATCGAGTAAACTGCTTCCCAAGGAAGGTTTCAGGATGGGATCGCACGCACCGGCAATCTACAAGCCTATGTTGGAAATTACTGAAATTACCTGGCATATCTCTCGGGCATCCCTGATGGCTGCGGCGAAATTCGCAGTCGAGGCAGCCTCTTTTTTCTTCAGCAGTTCTATCTTTTCCTTGAAGTTGCGCGGATTTAGAGCATTCAGCTGTTTGGTTGCCATTTTACAAGCGGTTTCAGAAGGCGAAAAACAACTGGCACACAGGGGGATGTATATGAGTGAAACACTTGTCAGCTCCTTGAACAGTAGCTCTGAATGCAATCAACGATCAGACAAGTGAGCCGCAACGTTGGATTCACCGAAAAGCTCGCGAGTATGGCTGAGAGGTAAATGCCGTCGGAAAACAAAACATAAATGTCACTCTAATTCAGCTCCGCACACGGGCATAGCTTCCAAGGTTACATTGATTCAATCAGCGATCCATTGCTGTGTAGAACATGAGCAGTCGGTCTGATTAGACTATGTACATATAGAACCGTTTCAAAAAAGCCAAGAATCAGCGCAAGTGAGGTGGCGAGCTCAGCGCCCGGCGCGACTGCACATTGTGATGGATGCCGCGAATACTGAGCTCTCATTGGTCGATTCATATGACTAGTTAATAGGAGTAATAATCGCTCGAATTCTTGCACCAGGAGATAAAATTGTGTCTCTGGGTGTTCCGTCGACCGACTAAAGTTTTACTGCAGTTTCATGTTAAGTTTCTGCTTTCCATGGAGATGGGGAATGTAGGGTGGAAGGTAGTTTAATTAGGACCACAGAAACAAGTTACGGCGAAAGCCAATGTTCAGAGTCACTGTAGTTCACAAATCAGATATTTTTGAACTAGTATCACCACATAAGCCTTCTGACATGTTAACGCAGCAACCACCAAGAAATGAAGGTGAGGTTGTCAAGGTGTGTTAATAGTATGCAGTTCCGTTAGGTCAGTTTTATATTGGCTGCAGCGCCCGAGTGGATTTGGGGGATGCCACTCGATCGAGCTTCTAGCTCTCTTTTGTGATAATCCATCATCACATCTGCCAATAATTATTTGATAACCTATTCACACAGCTTAATGCTCACACAGAAAGGGCGACCCAAAAATGATTATGTGGAATGCTTTGTTAACGACTAGAAGCTTCGGAATTCGAGTTTTCTGGAAGCGACTAGAAAGGCCCAAGCTCGTCAAATAGCGGACCAGAATGGTCTTCCCCATGAGGTCAACGCGTGCTCACCAACCCTATAGTGAGAGCAAGACAGGTTTTCTTAAATCACTCCCATTCTCCATTACATTGCAGGCCGAATTGTCACTCGATCATTTCAAGAAATATTCGCCCTTTTTTCTCCCATGGCATACAATTTGCTGCCCAGCATTGTCTATACCGAAGATCGATACATTATTCCTGCCGCTCCGAAAGGGTTTCACGTTGCTGCTGCAGCAGAAACCGGACACTGCATTAGGTTTAAAAACCCCTAATCAATTGGATTCTAAGGTAGTGTTTACGAAAATGGCTTCGTTTTTTGCTCATACTAATATTTGGACGAATTCTCTCGCTATGTCGACCATCTATTGAATTATCGCGTGTCGTTTGGTGTAGTTTTTTGAGCATAAATATGCCGTATATTTCGGAAGCTATTCTTTAGGTTGTACTTCTTCGTTTTGTACCCACATATTCACAAACACGAAGCGGAGTATGAAGTGCTCGCTCTCACAGGAACTATTGGTGAACTACAACAGATGTGGAAGAGGAATAATGTACATCAAATGTGAAAACTTGAGCTTAAATCACATGCGTCTGCCTTATTGGTATTTGCAGGATTTTGTAGGGTGATGAGATTGGTTGAATACCAACTCTGTCAACCATTTGTGTGCGCCAGCGACTCCATTTAAATGGTGTTGCGTAGGCTACGGATAATAAGACATTTATCGACAAGGAAACCAAATGCAAATGTTCCCTTCTAACCTGGACGTGCCAGGATAAGGCGGTGCTTTAGTACGAAACTTTAGAGGATGCAAACAAAAGGAATACAGCAGGCTGTGTGAGCGCTGTCAAAAAACTACCGCAGAAGCGCCTGTCACTTGCGATCCCGAGTTCACCTGCTGCCCAGGATGATTTTAAGCCCTCTGATACTAAGACAGGACCACAAGTGTCAGCAGTGGGCAGTCCGATGATGGAGTTCGGGATGATTATCACGGATTCATATGGGCAGTCCGATGACGGAGTTCGGGATGATTATCAGGAGCTCGTTTTTCAGTGACCATGCCAAAAACTAGCAAAACCGCTGATGCTGCTCCTTCAAAGACTGGGTATGGATCTCTCCACAGACAGTCCTCAAACAGATAATGATATGATGAAACCTTCCGGCAGTCTGACACGCCCTCCTCCCTAGCTTCCGTACAAGGAGCCCTGGGTATGTCTGTAGCATTCAAAAATTCTTTATGAAGACCAATTCCACATCCGAAAAACGTGCTCCTCCTCAGCTGCAAGTCAGCTGACCCAAACTTCTGGCCGACCCGTGGCCCTGGAGCTTTGTGACAGATCTAAATGAAGGCCGGTTAAGTGTGCGGCCGTGGCAGGCCCACCGACTAACAAAAACATCTATGCATGCAACAAGCAAACTTCCTGAGAAAATTGCACAAAACATATGCAAAGTAATTTTCGTCTATTTCCTTTGCGGACAGCAAAATCGTGGCTGTGAACACTGCACACCAGTCAAAAACTCTGGACTGGTTTGTGTCAGCTATGCAAAAACAAATAGCTAACTCCACCGACCAATCAAACACAGATTTTTGTCCGATATAAGATATCGTTCGTACGTCCCACAACCACTGGTCAACAACCCCGGTGAAGCTGGGCTGGACCATTTTGCTTCATGGAGGAGCCCTAGAAAAAGCGCCCTAGGATGAACAAGCCGGAAATCGGGCATATGCTCTAGCTTCATTCCGCCAAAACCGGTAGGTCGAATAGTGGGTGTAGCCGTCATTCGTAACCCTGAACATCCAGGCCACAAACCCGCCTACGCGGCACAGGAAACGAGCATGAGTTTTTCCCTGGTGATCGCCGACGTGCAGGGAGTCAGCAGGAACACAAAACGAATGCGATTGCGGTCGAGTGATCCATGCAACCCTCGCCTTATCTGTGAACCTGTCACTGAAGTTAGGAGGTAGGCTCCAAAGAAAATAAGTTTGCGAAGGCCACCAATGAGAAAACATCATGATTCTTCTATCTTATGATCCAGTGGTCAAAATAAATCTTGTAGAATCTTACAGATGGCTAAATTGCCCTTAGAAGCCAAAGGAACCAAGCGAAACCAACTTCGCTGGAAGTCCTCATACATCGGAGAACCTAGTAGTAAAAAATAACATTCCGCTGAATCCACCGACGTTTTCTCTAGGAGAAGGAAAAATTAGTCCACAGAATAACGCAAAGATCGACTATTATCCCCGACACCACTCTGCAACTCTAATCCTGAGTGAAACACCTTAAATTTTTCCGAATGCACAGGTCAATATCAGAAAACTAGCTTGAAGTTTACTAATGGATGGTTTTTATTTTGCAACTTAAAATTTCTCCAGACAATTGCAGTTTCGCTGAAATTTATACAGCCATGTTTAAAATGTATTTTGGTGCCGGGTCCATATTTTTGAAGTTTTCCGATGCTCAAAGGGATGTCTCCGCGAGGGCGGTGGGAAAATTTGTTGGAAGGCAGGGTTCTTCATGGTGCCATAACGAAATTAATAGGTTTATGGGCAGAAGCAACAGACGGGACTTCATAGTTTTTGTTCGAATACGGAGGACTGGGGCGCTCTCGTAGTCGCGTGTACCGCGCATGTTCAGGAAATGGTAAAGATATGATTAATTACGAGCAAGCTACCACACTAAGAAAGCTGGTCATCGTACAGGTATCGCGAAGCCGTACTCATTTTCATGGGCGGCCCGTATCTGAATGTCTTGGGTGGGTCAGGCTTGTTAGGATGTTCAAGATTGGAAAAGGAATTTTCGGCATAGTAGGAAAAACGATATTCTTGAGCCTATCGAGCAAGCATTGTGGTCTGATGCTGCTGACGGACGAGGCAAGTAGACCGCCGCATTTATCTTGGTGCCTCAAAATAGAAGCTAGGATCAGAAAGGTCTATTAGAGAGCGCTGAAGGCTCAGGAGGATAACAAGCATCTAATAATGGATAAAATTTATAACTACTTCAGTACCTCATTTATAAAGCGACCATGTGCATCCAATTAGGATATTAGGGAGTAGCGACAAGTAGTCGATAAGAACGTATGTGGCCATATGTTGACATAAGCAGGGCACAGTTGTGAGTGGACGGTTTGTGAAATCCTGTTTGAGACGTCAGTTACTATGTAGGTGGCTCGTTTGAAAGATACCAATTAACCGGCAAGTGTTCGAGAATGTAGGATTGCTATGTACCAGAGAATACTAGGCCGAAATGTGGGTTAGAGATCCTTTACTGATAGTTTGCAACTGTTCGGATGTGCTCATTTTGGAGGTGGGTGAAGAAGCTTCAGAGCAAGACAAGTTACCGGTTGGGGGCTACATTGAACAACAACGTACCGACTGGAGATATGGATGCCGTTCTGATATTACATGCTGCACAGAAACACCTGCTAACTAGTCCTGAAAGTCACACGGGTCTAGAATTAGCATTTCAAGGTACAAAGGAAGAAAAGCATGACGTGCGTTATCGTACTTCATGTTTGGGCGGTGACATCAACTCAGCTTGGTGAAGCCACAAAACAAGGAGAAGGGTAGAGTCCTTTCCAGACAAATTGCCTCACAGAACTTAAACCAAGCTTCTCTGGTGAATCCCCGCTAACTTAGACACGAAACAGTGACCAGTCGATCGTCCTAATTATGAAGTTCTTAACATCGCCTACGATAGAGTGTGACGCTAAGTAGGTTAGGGAACAAGAAGTGATGGTGCGTGAAGTAGAGTTTACTGGGCGTCTTTTGGTTCGATCGAAATTTACTGAACCTAGGAGTAGAGGGTGAATGAGAAACAAAAACTTAGGTCTAATATCCAGAAGAAGATGGGGTATGAGACTCGACATGCTACACAGAATGTTCCTGGGAGGGGGCATGCATTTAACGGGAGATATGACCCCGTGCAATCTTTCTCAGCTTTAAGCAAGGCGCATTGAAGAGCTGGATGCCGGGATGCAGGGTCCATAGAAAGCTTAAAAGACGAAGACAAGAGTGGTGATACGTAGTGGATCATGTTGCTTGGATGTAAGTTGAGGGATATCCGTTACTAAGACAAGAAGACAGAGCAAACGCCA